AAGCCTGGCTAAATTTTTTATTTTTTGTAAAGACACGGTTTTGCTATGTTGCCTAGGTTGGTCCTTTGGTTGGACTCAAGAGATCCTCCTCCCTTGGTCTCCCAAAGATTTGGGATTACTGGCGTGAGTCACTGTGCCTAGCCAAGGGATGATATATGAGGGGAGACCCCAAAAGACCCTAATTTATTTATTAAAACTTGTATATTTATTCTTATATGTTTAAACTTTGATCACCTTCAAAGTACTCTCAATATACCTATCAAGACACTTTTTCCATCGCTCAAAACAGTTTTTGTGCTCATCAATTTTGATGCCTTTTAGTGCTTCTGCCATTTTTTGTTTTGCTTCTTCCACATTGGCAAAATATTTCCCTTTGAGGACTTTTTTCATGCAGGGAAACAAAAAAGTTGCTTGGGGTGAGATTAGGTGAATAGGGAGGGTGGGGCACAAGGGTCATACTGGTTTTAGTGGAAAACTGCTGAACATTTAGTGTGGTGTGGTGGGCAGGTGTGTTATCATCAGTCACCTGTTTGCTACAACTTGAGATGTTTCTTCCACAAATTGTGGTGCAACCTTCTCAAAACTTCTAGATAAAAACTTCGGTTGACGTAATCCAGAGGAACAAATTGTACAATTTGTACTAAAAGGGGCTCACCCTCCAAAAGGTAATTGCGGGTTTTGCAGGGCCCCCCTCATATTCATATTGGAAGTATAAAGTAGAGATGGGTGTCGTGTAAGGTAGTTAAATATGAGTGGGCGCAGTGGCTCACACCTGTAACCCCAACACTTTGGGAGGTGGAGACGAGAGGATTGACTGAGCCCAAGGGTTCAAGAGCAGACTACTTGTTGAGACCTTGTCTCTAAAATACACCCCAAAATTGCCAGGTGTGGTGGTACATGTCTGTAGTTCTAGCTACTTGGAGGGCTGAGGTGGAAGAATTACTTGAGCCCAGCAGGTTGAGGCTGCAGTGGCTGTGAGCATGCCACTGCACTCCAGCCTGGGTGACAGAGTGAAACCCCAACTCAAAAAGTAAAAAAAGTTAAACATCTAAAAAAATAAAAATGACCAATATCTAACTATGATAAATAGCAGGAATAATTATTACTATTATTATTATTATTAGAGGGTTGTAGGCAATGACAAAAGCTAACAGAATTCCGAGTGACTGTCTCTGGGAAGTAGAACTGTATGGGGAAGCTGGGATAGAGTTCTATTGCTTATCATGTGTCCCTACATGTGTTAATTGGCTTTTAAATTATGGTTACATATTATTTTTATTTTAAACATGTTAAGGCAAATAATTGAATATGATACATGTGTTTCCACTTTATGTGATAATTGCATCCTTGAAAAATAATGGTTAAATCTATTTGCTCAAAGTGAATCATGTTTAAAATACTTAGCAGAACTACAGAACTAAGAGCCCCTGAAGGCAATGGTTCTTAAACTTGAACATGCATCAGAATCACCTGGAACACTTTTTTTTCTGTTTTCTTTCCTTCTTTCTTTTCCATTTTTCTTTCTTTGAGACAGGATCTCACTCTGTCTCCCAGGCTGGAGTGCAGTGGCCCAATCAGAGTTTACTGCAGCCTCCATCTCCTGGGCTCAAGTGATCCTTCTGCCTCAGCCTCCTGAGTCAAGTTGCTGGGATTGGAAGCATGAACCACTGAGCCTGGCTCTGGAGGACTTGTTAAAATACAGATTGCTGGGTTTCTGATTCAGTAGATATAAGGTGGGACCTGGGAATTTACATTTTCAACAGTTTCCCAGCTGACACTTATGCTGCTGATCCAGGAACCCCATTTTAAAGAGAAGAAATAACTCTCCATTTATATTTTCTCGAACCCGTGGGCTCAGGCAATCTTCTCACCTCAGCCTCCCAAAGTGCTGGGATTATAGGCATGGGCCACTGTGCTGGGCCTCAATTTATATTTTCTATATTTTCTATGGTGTCTTACTGAAAGCTGTTCTCTTCCTCCAGAGAGGGCTAACAGATTCCCCTTCCCCTAGAGATCCGCCTCCAAAGGGTTTAGGGAATGATACAACCTCTCCCCATCACCAAGCAGGAAAGGCCATGTGACCCAGTCCAGCCAAACACTCTCCATTCCCAGCCACAGAGATTGGTTCAGGGATGGTCCATGTCCCAAGCTGAACCAATCAGAATTCATCCCAGGACATTTCTGCTTTATTCATCCAAAAACGCTGCTCACTCTGGCATTACTAAGCTGATAAGCTTGGGAGTTACTATTTTGCCTGTCACATGGAGGGAAGCATTCAAGAAAAGTAGAGAAACAGAGTACTGATAACACTGTGACTCCCTGAGTCAGTTAATTCTGAACCAGCCTTCTCGGTTGCGTTGAGCTGTTAAATTCACTTTTATTTTTTCCTCATGTTTGAGTTAGGTTTCTGAGGTTTGCAATCGAGCTCCTGACTAACACAAATGAAACAGAGTTTTCTAGCATGTTTTAGAACATGTTCTTTCATATTGGAAGTCCTGTGGCTTCTCAGATTGGAAAACAAACAGAAGTGAAAACAAAATGACAACACATATGCAAATAGAGAAGGCAACTCTACAAAACTCCAGAAGTATGGAGATATAATGAAGCTAACATTCAGGTAGACACATACCTTCCAATGAGACCTCCTCCTCTTCCCCCCTCCCCTCCTCTGTTCTGGGTCTCACCTTCTCATAACTCCCAGAAGTAGACAGAAGTAGGAGAAGGGCCCAGGTTATCCCACAATCTTCTTCAAAGGAAGTCATCCATCTGAAACTGAGTGTTGGCTATATAGAAAGTGTTTGGATTATCTATTGCTCTGACTGGCAGCTGTGTTGCCCTCCACAAAAGTCCCAACCTAACCCATGAAACGGAATTTCTATCTCTGGCGTTTCATATAATGCATATTGATTTTATGTCAGATATTTTGCTTTCATCATCTCATTTAATTCCCACTAAAATTCAGCGAGGTACGTACTTTTTACTCCCATTTTACAGATAAGGAAATGGAGACTAATCATTAAATTAAGTGATAGATCACAGAACCAATCATGTGGTGCCCGGATTCAAACCAGATTATCTTTTGTTTCCAAACCCAAGGAAGGAAGGACGGAGGGGAGGCAGGGAGGGAGGGAAAGAAAGAAGGAGGGAGGGAAGAAGGGAAGGGGGAGAGAGGGGAAAGAGAAGTGAAGATGAAGTTTACTAGAAGAAGTCTGGTTTGGATTTCTAATAGTCTACCTCTTCTGGGTTCCAGGCCCTTCGTGACACCTGGCTGAATTCCTGTCCACAAGACCTCCCAATGGTCTTATAATAAATCCCTCTTTCCTCTTCAGTTAGCTTTAGTTGATTTGAGCTACTTGCATCCCAAGAGTACTAACCAGTACAGCTACCCACTACAATGCCTTACCAAAGGAATTGTGCTGGCAACACATCAGCCTCCGGCATGCAGCAAATAAAAGAATCTGTAACAGCAGTTTTTCCTGCAACCAGTCCCTCCCCTGCCCAAGTAGTCACCATTATTCTCCCATCTGTCTCTAGAGCATAATTACCTTGATGATGCGCGTGACTCTATGGTGACAGAGCACACCAAATTCTCTTCTATCTTGAATCAAAGGTCACTTTCCATTTCACTGCTCCTACCACCAGCCTGAAATCACATCTGGGATCCCTGAGAAGCCAAAACCCTATTGATGAAAATCAATATCCTAAGCCTGTAAAACTAAGGGCCAGAGTGCTAACCCGGAGAGCAGATACTCAGGCTTCCTGCTCAAGCAAGCTTCATGTCCAGCGCACCAAAGAGGTAGTGACACAGTCAGCCTTAAAGAGGGGCAGCATGTTTTAGTCATCAGAACCCAAGCGATGGAATCATCTGGCATTTAGGTGCTCACACCTTCTCCATCCACAAGGGCACATCACTTCAGTCCTACAAATACTTATTGAGTATCCACTTTGGTCCATATATTTGCACTAGACACTGGGAACAGACCAAGCAGTTGGTTAAGGAAGAGGTGCAAAGCATGGTCCTAAATCCTTAAGATCAGGTATCTGTGTGTCTGGAAGAAAACTGACTAGAAAAAAGGTTGTACCACATTTATTCGTCAGCTTTTTGGGAGCTTTTTCTTCCACTCTGTCTTTTAAGCCATGACCTTGATTTCCAAGAATTCTAGACCAGCCAACATAGTATCCGATGAGCCTCTCTGATAGCTCGACATATTTCAGAAAAGGACTTCCCCAAGGGCTTATCTGGAATTATTTTTGTGAACTGAATCGACAAGAATGACACAGGGTCATGCTGGGCTTTAGAAAGCTAAGCTAGAAGCCAGGGAAAGGCCACCCTCCCAACTAGTGGCTTGTCCATTGCCTCGGGGCCCTGCAGACTGAAACACTACCATGCACGCCCCAGGAAAGAGAGGACAAAACAGCAAACAGAATCTCTCTAAGCAAGCTAGCAGTTCCAAAACTTAAAGGTATCATATCCAAAACCTAAAAACAAAGACAAGTAATGAAAGGAAGCTAGCTGTTATTGTTTCTATCGTGAGATGTTACATGAACAGATGTAATTTATTTTCCTGTGGGTTTTCTGAGGAAGAGGCAAGTTTTGGGGATTCCACTTCATTAAATATTTCAGCCAGTCTCACAAATTTGACAAAGACAACAGGAATTTATACGCATAGAGGAGAGAAAGACTCTCAGTTCCATCAGATGAGAACAAGAGAGAGAACCAGCTCAACAGTGTCAGACGGAACAAGTCTCAGGGCAGTTCTGTTAATTTGGAGTAAGATTTTATACCTCAAACCAATGAACTCAAGGCACCAGGGTGACAAAAACAGTAAAATGTTCAAGGAAAGGCAAATCTCCAATGCTCATTTGGAGGCTTTGCCCAGTTTTCCTGGTATTCTCCTTCTCAGTGTGTGTGAAGCTCAGAGTGTTCGTATCATGAAGCACATTTCCCATTCCTGCACTGCTCTGTCTACTCTCTCTGAAACTTCAAGCTGCAAACTTACCTTTGTGTTCTTAGCACTGGAAACCAGGATCCAGATCCCAGCGAGGCCAGAACTACTTGCTTTGTTCCTGTTGGGTGGCAAGAAGGGCTCTCTGTGGTTTCCAGACTGAACAGTATTTGGGGCATTGGAGATTGACTTCTGGGGCTCAGTGGCGGCCAGCCATGTGACCAAGGTGGGGGGAGGGACGCTCCTGCAGGGTCAGGGATGGATGCCTGGTTGACTGACAGACCAGGGTAGAGCAAGGTCTGAACAGAGCTGGCCATGATCACAGGCAGATGTCTTTGCTCTAAATTTCCCTTTGGGTTTTAACTTGATCTTTTTAGGGCAGTGGTATATTCCAGCCTTGATTTTGAAATGCTGGCTTATCTCCCTGCATTGTTTTATCCAGATCCTTTTAGGATTCTGGCTTGGAGGGATGTTAGAGCTGGAAGAGAACTTGGAGAATCCAGCTCTACCCCATGGTTTCCCATTCTATACAGGGAAAACCAAGGCCCAGAGAGGAGTAGTGACATTTCCAGAAGCCTACAGAGACCTGGGCCTGTTGTTACATACTGGGGTGATCCCAGTTGGCTCAAAATTACAGCTCACTTGAATGTCTCCAAATTTTAGACTGTTAGAACTTTGAGGAGCACTGAGATGCTGGTAAAGTATCTTATCACATTGCAGGTACTTAGATGTACAGCTGTCAGATTAGGTGATGGCTTAGAAATAGTGGCAGTCTTTACTTATAGTCAGTGAGTGTCAATAAACATATATACTCATTTTTAGCTCTCTCAACCTAAATCTTCATAAAATGCTCCAAGATGATCTTTTTGGAAGGATCGGGTAATATCAAAAGCTAGAGACTCTTAAAATTTCATCTCAAAAACCTTGAAGGCCTCTCTACACTACAGCCATGTGGGTGGCCTTCTAGTTCATACCTGCCACTTCCCCCACAAGAACGGCTGCTGGCTTTCTGCTGACAAAAGAAGAAGTGGTGGTAACAATGGAGGGAATGATGGAGGCAGAGGTTGGCTGTAGAAGTTGCAGTGTAATGGTGGCGGTATAGATGGAAGTGGAGAGGTGTCGATGGAGGTGTGAGAGGTAGATGGAGTGTGAGGTGTAGAAGGAGGTGTGAATTGTAGCTGGAGGTGTGAGATATAGATGAAGGTGGCAAGGTATAGAGGGAGGTGTGAGGTATACATGGGGGAGTGAGGTGTAGATGGAAGTGTGAGTTGTAGATGGAGGTGTGAGGTGTAGATGCAGGTTCACAGTGTAGGTGTAGATGGAGAAGGTGAGGTGTAGATGGTGGTGTGAGTTGTAGAAGGATGTGGTGATGTGTAAATAGGGTGTGAGGTGTAGAAGTTATGGTGAGGTGTAGACGAGGGTGTGAGGTGTAGCCAGAGCTGGTAAGGTATAGAAGGATGATGGAGGATGTAGGGGCAGTGATGGTGATGGAGGAAGGAGTTCAAAATTCTCTGAAGGATGGGATAGGAGATTCTTGTTATTATATGCCGATAACCCTGAATTAATCTGACCTCTTCTGATTACAGGCATCAAATGGCAAAACTCCACCACTGGGAGCCTGGAGAACCTTATTGTGTCCCCAGAGTTGTGTTACCTTTGGGGAATCACTTCACTTCTCTGGGCCTCAGTTTCTGGGGAGCAGACCTGCATTTACTGTAAGGAGGTTGGGGAAACCTATCTCTCTCTCTCCCTTCAAGCATTCTTCTTGCCCTATTAAGCAGGCGCTTCTGTCTGTTCTGAAGTCTAGAGAGAAGTACTCTCACCTGTCTACCTCCTACCCCATTCTATCTAACAAAGGATGAATGGTTCATGTGTTGGGCGAATGAAATTGGCACATGTCATGACTCAGATTGTCTGGGTTTCCTCCCTCTGGGAACTTCCTGCCCACAGAAGACCCATCTTTCCTTCTTCTCCTCTTCTTTTCATGGTAAACGCCCTAGGGCAGGTTCCTGCCTTGTGGGACCGGAGAGTCTTCCAGTTCTGGGTGGATAGGTTTGACCCTAGGGGAAAGAATTAGGAAACCCAACGGTACATTCAGAACAACATGTTCCAATCAGCTTTAGCTGCTGTTAATTTGTTTTAAGTCCTAACTGCTTGACTTCTGTCTCTTATTTCTCATGTGCATAGAGGGAACTTAAAGACTGTGAACAAGCATCACCTTCAAAGTCTAGTACTGATGAATTAATAAAAGAGCCTGCATAGAATAGATCTTACGTTTCTTTCAAGCTCTAATTACGTTTCTAAGTGGACTTGTCTCTGGTGCAAAACAAACATATTGACGGAGCTGGGTGAGATGCAGAGACTCTTAGTGGACAACTTGCTAAGCTCTGACTCCTTCTCTCCTGCCTTCTAGCTGGGTAAAGACCTCTGATCTTTGTACATCCTCCTCTTCTGCCCATACCCAGCTCCTTATGGCTTCATTTACTTCCCCTTCTAGCCTACACCTCATGATACATCCCTTCCTATCTTCCCTCATTGATACTCATAACCCCTTATACACACCCTGCTTATCTAGAACCTTTACCCACAAGAAGCTCCCCACGAGCTGGCCAAGATTCACTGCAGCATGTGTAATTTTTGGTTTCCAGATTGTTTGTGCCAAGCTTTGGCAGGTGGTACAATACTGGCTGCCCCAGATTCTTGTCTGCTTTAGCTGCTTTTGAACTGTGTCCAGGGTTGAGAAGGGAACATACTGTGATGGTGTAAGAACGCTGTGGGAATGCAAAAAGAGATGAGAGATAAAGAGATGCCGAGAAACCCTAGAGGCCCAGCCCAGGTGGTGCTGTGGATAGATCCTCTCCCTTCGCCTTCTCTGGCTACTCCGTGGTCGTTGCTATGACCTGTGACCTTGGCTCACGCTGCACCAGCCACAATCCAGGTCTTGCTGGACTTCTAACACCCCAAGCTCATTCCCACCCAGGGCCTTTGCACTTACTGTGCCCTCAGCCTTCAGCATGACTTGCTCCCTCGCGTCAAATGTAATCTACCCAGGAACACCTTCCCCAACCAGCCCACCTAAAATGCCCCTCTCTGGGCCTTCATTCTGCTTTAATTGTCTAGATGGCATTTCTATTCAAAACCAAATTTTGTGTTTTGTTTTTCATTTATTGTCTGTTCCTCTAATTATGGCAGGGACTTTGTCTTGTTCACTGATGAATCTCTGATACCTAGCTGGCTCATTCAAATCCCAGCTTCACTGCCTGTGGGATCTTAGGCAGGTTGCTCCTCTCCCTCCCCCCCGCCACACACACCCCACTTCAATTTTCTTAACTGAAAAAATGAGAATAATAATCCTATCAACCTCAAGGGTCGTTATAGGAACAAATGTGAAATCTTAAGTCAGTGTCTAGCCCACAGGGAATAATCAGTATGATTATATTATTATAAGTATTACACTCCCATGAAGTTCATGGCATGACTTCCCCAGGAAGTGGAGAGGAGGATGGCATTCTCAGCAGTTTCCAAGAATGGAATGTCTTTGTTGCTCTGAAAACCAAGCCCTGATCTCTCCTCTTGCCAGTTCTCTGCTGCCCTCTGAAGGCCTGCAGTGGAGGCAGGCAGAAAGCTGGCTGAGGTGGGGACGCTACAGATTATGTATTTCCCACAGAGAAGAATGAGGCTTTGCTGGATGAAAGTTCCACTACTGAAGCCAGCCAGAACCCACGGAGGCAGCTTGGGCCTTGGCAGAGCTGCCACCAGAGCCAACATTTGGCAAACGCAATTGGGAATCACTGAGGCCATGGAGAAGCTGTGGGTACCTGGGAACTCCTTCAGCTAGGCCCCGAAATGGACTCAGAGCTGGGGTTTAGCCAGGGCCCGGGATTTCCTTTCTCTCCCCCAAGGCCGTCTTCCTTAGCTAGGACAGAGTGCTCTGGTCACCTCGGCCAACCTGCACCACCCTAGAAAGCTGCTCCTCACCCTGTGTCTTACTTCCTGTCGGAGCGTATGCCGCCAGGTAGGCCAAGTGATCCTTATGCTGTCAGCTTAAAATGAGAAGACTGTGGAAAGTCACTCCTTTGGAGACATCGGGGAGGTGACTCACTAACAAGAACCTGGAGACACCAACACTGTCTAAGCAAAAGATATAATGGAAGAAAATATTTTATTTTCAATAGTAACAAACACCCCAAAACAACCCTAAACTTGCCTAGAAACATATATCTTCTATGAGAATATATGGCAAAACTTTGCCAAGAAAAGTATAGTAAGGCGCCATATTTCTGGATGAGAAAACTGAATAGGGCAAATATGCTAAATATTGAGAAATTTATATACATTTTAAATACAATACCAAGGGCATTTTGGATGAAAATGACCAAAAAGACCCATGGCCTATGTATTAGCTTAGAATGTATCGAGCTTTTACTATATGCCAGGCTCTTTACCTCAGTTAATTCTCAAAGCAACCCTGTGAGGTCATTACTAACATTTATGAAGGAGAATGCTGGGCAGTGGTTAAGAGCAAAGTGATGGCATTACTTTGGGCAAATTACAACTGTGAGGCATAGCTTTCTCATCTGTAAAATGGGAATAATAGTAGCTATCTCATAGATTTATGGTCAGGATTAAATGAGCTAATATACAAAAAACATTTAGAACAGTGCTTGGCAAGTGTAAGCACTTAATTGATATGAACTATTATTATTTTCACTTACAGATGAGAAAAATAAAGCTCAGAGAGGATGAGGTAACTCGCCCGAATTCATACAGCTGGTAACTAGCTGGCCTGGCCTAGGGAGTGAGGACAGGGAGGATTGTCTACAAGATGTAAAAAAGTCTAATAGTGAAAACAGAAAGCACATCTTATAGAATACATTTTTATGTGCCTTGCAAAATGATGCTCTGAAATATCATCTAATGCCTTCTCCTGCCTAATATTTCCTTCACTGGTTCTCCTTTCCCCTGTCCAAATAGCCAAGCCATTCCATGCCTATTGCCCCAGGAAGGCCATGTAAAATTAGAGAGAAGAAGTCAAGGAGCCTCTCTCCTTAGGGGAATAGAAAAGACTCCTGGCCGAGACCTAGACCAAAGTGTGGGAACAAATGGTCATGAGAAAGATCAAGGTTATCCCCTATCCCTCATATCCAGAAGGATTTCTCGGGATGAGGACAAGAGGTGGAGGGAACCTGAGCAATGTTGATGCTGGTGGGTCCTGGAGACCAAGGTTCTGATTCCTGCTCCCTGGGAGCAGTGTGGGTGACAAGGCAGCATCCCTCATGCACCTGTAGGCCTGAGAGCAGAGAGGGCCTGTGTCTTGCTTCCCAGGGAGAAAGAGGATGGCTGCTGGTTGTATGTGGGCTAAGAGGGTCCCAGGCAAGCTCGCTGAGGCAGCATGAAGAGGCAGAGAGACTCTGACCTCCATGATAACCTGCAGGTATCAACCACCAAGAGCCAGACAGGACAAGTACAGATGACTTCAAGGGCAGAGGTCCTTGTGGGTCCCTGAGAATCTAGAACGCTGCATTCCATCCTACCCCACCCCATCCTCAAAATGGAAACTGTGAAGGAAGTCCAGAACCAACTGGAATTGAGTGTCAGTACCTTTTTAAAAATAGGAGCTCAAATATAGATGGAGAGATTATTGGTTTTTGTTTATGGGTTTGCTTTTATTTATTTGTTTATTATTTTTATTTTATTATTACTATTTTTTTGAGATGGAGTCTTACTCTGTCACCGAGGCTGGAGTGCAGTGGCATGCTCATGGCCACCGCAGCCACAACCTGCTGGGCTCAGGCGATCCTTCCCCTCAGCCTTCCAAGTAGCTGGAACTATAGGCGTGTGCCACCACACCCAGCTAATTTTTTGATTTACTGTAGAGATGAGATCTCACCAAGTTGCCCAGGCTGATCTCGAATCCATGGTCTCAGGCAATCCTCTCACCTCGGCCTCCCAAAGTGTTGGGATTATACGCGTGAGCCACCGCGCCTGGCCTGTTTTTATTTTTGAGACAAGTTCTCACTCTGTCACTCTGGCTGAAGTGCAGTGGCACCATCATAGCTCACCGTAACCTCAAACTTCTGGGCTCAAGTGATCCTTTTGCCTCAGCCTCCTCAGTAGCTGAGACTACAGGTACACTATCACATTAGGCTAACTATTTATTTTTTAGAGATGGAGGCTCACTATGTTGCTCAGGTTGGTCTTGAACTATTATCCTTAAGTGAGACTCGCACCTTGCCTCTCAAAGTGAGATAAAGGAGAATTTAGAAATAAACTAATGTTTCTTATATACTTAAGTTTGGGAACTGAAACTGTATTCTAAAAGATGGATTTTAAAAAAAAATAATGTTGGGGAAATGCACTATTTTAAAAAATCAACTTAGGGCCAGGGTCGGTAGCTCAGCCTGTAATCCCAGCACATTGGGAGACCAACGTGAGTGGACTGGCTGAGCCCGTGGGTTCGAGACCAACCCGGGCAACTTGGCGAGACCTTGTCTCTACAATAAATCAAAAATTAGCTGGGCGTGGTAGCGCATGCCTGCAGTTCTGGCTACTTGGAAGGCTGAGGTAGAAGGATTACCGGAGCCCAGCAGGTCGGAAAAAAAAATCTACTTAGAAGGGAAGCTTGGGCAGTGGACAAAGGCAGCAATTTAAATCATTCAGAGTTAAGTGCAAGTTGTTTTCTGCTCTGAAATTAAATGTGATTGTTCTTAAGACGGGGTTGTACTTGTACCCTGATTTGCATTGGACAGTAACCATATGCTTATGTTGTCTCACCTTCATTATTAGTAGTGCTTCTTTCATTCTCAAAAGGGTCCCAGTTTGGGCAATAAATTAAATAAATTTGGGCACAGTGGCTCACACCTGTAATCCTAGCACTTTGGGAGGCTGAGGCAGGAGGATTGCTTGAGCCCAGGAATTTGAGACCAGCCTAGCCAACATAACGAGACATCATCTCTACAAAAAATTTTTAAAAGTAGCTGTATGTGGTGGCATGAGTTTGTAGTCCCAGCTACTCAGAAGGCCTGAGCCCAGGAGGTGGAGGCTGTGGTGAACCTTGCCTGGGTGACAGACTGAGAACCTGACTCAAAAAAAAAAATTACGTGGTCACTCTACTTGAGATGCATGAGAGTGATCGCATGGGTGGGCCAGGCGATAACCGTGGAGGCCAGCAGAACCAGAAGTAGAGCTTCTGGTGGGGGGATATCTTCAGACAGATGGGAAAGGAAGGTGAGCTCAGGCAGGTAGTTGCATCAAGAGAGGGGACACGGTGAGGTTGAAGGCTGGTGCTGAGTGGAACTGAAAGGACAGTGGTGGGATCAGAGTGGAATGTTTATAGTTCCTATTTCAGAGATGGAGCAGCTAAGGGTAATGCTAAGGCTTTGACCATGGACGCAGCTGTGAGACACAGAGGGCTAATTGTGTTTGGAAGTGGAAACTGAGCAGCTGGGGAAAGACAGAGAAGGGGGCTTATCTCTACCCTTTTACTCCTTTTGAATTTTGAATCTTGTGACTATATTATCTGTTTTTAAATATCTATAAATAAAATCCTAGCCTAGGCAACATAGTGAGAACTTATCTCTACAAAAAATAAAAATAAAAAAATTAGCCGGGCATGGTGGTGTGTACCCATGTAGTTCCAGCTACTTGGGAGGCTGAAACAGGAGGATCGTTTCAGTCCGGGAGGTTAAGGCTGCAGTGAGTCAGGATTGTGCTACTGGACTCCAGCCTGGGT